TTTATCATAAAATTTTTAATAAATCTATAATTTTATCACATGATGTAATTGTGTGAATTTGTGTAGAAAAATTATAATTTTGACTGTTTCCAGAAGTTTATTTTTAAAGAAATTTATAACGGGATATGACAAGTATTGGTAGCACTGACTGGGGATCGTTGTACCGGCCTTCTTGAGTCTGAAGAAAGAAGCAAGAATATATTTGGAAATTTTTTTACACCTGAGGTGTTTTTTGAGGAGTTAGTAACGTATCAGCCTAAAAGGATCAACTACAGTACTGCACTGAGTGTAGTCTTGGGTTCGATTTTTTCAGATTGATTCCTTATTAGTAGCGAAAGACAAACAACAGTATCGGTAAGATGTTAATTTTAATTAATCGGTCCATTAAGGCTATCCAAGTTATGAAGACGATGGTTGTCTCACTGTTAAGAAATTTCTGAAAACATATTTTCATAGATTGGAAATGAAAGGATTGATACTTACAAATGTTCTTAATTTTTAATTTGATACTTCGTTAAGTCTTGCAATTAAACGCTTTGAGACAATGTCAGATTTTTCATTTCACATTTTTTTCTATATCAATACTAGAACTGCACGACTGAGATAATCCTTACGGAAAATACTTAGTAAAAAAATAAAAGTACTAATATCTTGTAAGCATTGAAATATCAATATCCCTATTCTAAATAAATTTAAGAAGCAAAGATACTTTTTATTTTGACACAATGAAAATATCAATACTTTTCTTTTTGTTGTCAGTAAAAACTTTGATACCTTGAGGTTAAAATAAACAATGTTAGTAATATGATACCTTGAGGTTAAAATAAACAATGTTAGTAATTTAACGTATAGTTGTCGACTTTAGGCCAGATCAGACATGTTAACGATAGTTTGATTCTAGTATTGAATCAATACTTTCACTCAGTATTTTTAGCAATAATACTCTCAACACGGAAGCGGTGATGGAGCGGGCACGGCGATGATTTGGATTGAAAATAAATGTGGTATTGCCTCGGGTTGATGTATGTACAGTAGGCACCCTCACATCGTAAATATGAAATGAAACCTATTGGAGAATTTAATGCTATTTTAGTGCTACAATCCCGATTTTAGTGCCCCATCCCTTATACCGAAAATCGGTGGTAGTGTTGAGTAAACGTTTACTCAGTAACTTCACCGTGCATACTTCAATAAGGGAGAGATTACGTAAAAAACGAGCACGCAGTATTTTGGTCCTATTTTAGTGTTCTAGGAATACCCTAGACCCAGATCCGAAACGTCACTCCTTTTACTCTAAAACTACCCCCAATCATATAGACATCAAGGAAGAAGAGGTAGAAGTAACCAAATTTTGCACGTTCTCTTTTTGCACTATTTTGGTGCTATTTTAGTGGTGTAGGAATACCCTAAAGCTAGATTCGAAACCACTCCTTTCACCCTAAAACTACTCTGAATCATATAGACGCCAAGGGAGGAGAGGTAGAAATAATAAAATTTTACACGTTTTCTTTTCGCACTGTTTTGGTGCTATTTAAGTGTTGTAGGAATACCTAAAGGCGAGATTTGAAACACGATCCCTTTCATCTCAAAACTGCTTCAACCGTATGGGCCTCAAGAGTTAAAGGGGTGTAAAAATCAAATTCCCAGCGATTTGTTCTCCTACTATTTTGGTGCTATTTAAGTGCACGAGGAATACCCTAGAGCCAAATTCGAAACACCACCCATTTCACCCCAAAACTACCTTTATCCGTATAGGCCTCAAGAGAGAAGAGACCGAAAACTTAATATTTCTGCTGTGCTGCTTAATTTATCGCTACTTATTACCTACCTACCAATCACTCCAAACTTATCTTTTCCGCTGAAAGGGTCTTCTCCCTGTTTTCACTCAAAATTAATCCCCTGATATTTAATACCTCAGATTACACCCTAAACAACTTAAATCCACCCAGATGTGTTTATAAAAAACACCAATCTGGCAACATTGTAGCGCATTAACGGAAACGTTTATGCAACTTATCTCAATAATATTACACAAAGATTCGTGTAAATAGTTAATAACTGTAAAAGAAAGAATCGGAATGAGATAACAATAATTAGCGCCGATTTTAATGTCAATTTTACCAAGCCAGAAGCACATCCGTTGATTGACTTCTTAGACATCAAACTGAAATTAAGTCACATTAACGAAAACATAAATATGAATGTAAATAGCAGTTAACTGTAAAAAGAAAGTGAAACACTTAATTTCTCGAAACGGGTCCCTTTCATAACTTGCGAACTTATAGTCATAAAGTTTATTCTCTTCCTTAAAAAATCATAAAATTTATACTCTTTTAGTACGTAGGTTGTAGTAAAATTATAAATTTGATTCCGTAATAGTGGCTTACAAGGAAACATTCTTTCTTTATTGGGTTATATCGTGACCAATTCATTGTACATGCATCGTGTGAACGTGCTAATTCCTCAAAATGTCGTTCGTTTTCATAACATGCAATTATTTATAAATGAATTAAAAAAACATTTTAAGAGACTGAAATTGTTTCGCAACAGATTCGATGACGATATAACCCAATAAAGATAATTGGGATATACTCGTATACCACCTACATCCATTGTTTACTACCAATGTATAAATGTCTATTGGCAAAAAACAAAAAACACGTATTTCCTCATTTTTCGTGAGCAATCACATGGCGTAAGTAGAACTTAAGTAGGAGTGCTTGTTTTATAGATATTACAATAAAATTTCGCCTGGAGGGTAGTTCACCCCCTTGAGGTGGTGTAGAATTACTGGACGACATTGTGTTTTTACCGTCCTTACACAGAATACGTTTATGCCAAGTTTCGTCGAAATCCCTCCACTGCTTCTATGAAAATTAATATAAAAATCGCATTTTCGCCAAACTTTGGGGGGTTGTTTCACCTCTTAAATGTGGACCATTGCAGATAAAAAAGAAACACGTGTCTCTTAGATTTTTGTGTTCTTCAACATATATGAAAATCAATAAGATCGGCGGCGGACACTTGGGAATATTTCCTCGTTAGTACACATTTATCATAAAATTTTTAATAAATCTATAATTTTATCACATGATGTAATTGTGTGAATTTGTGTAGAAAAATTATAATTTTGACTGTTTCCAGAAGTTTATTTTTAAAGAAATTTATAACGGGATATGACAAGTATTGGTAGCACTGACTGGGGATCGTTGTACCGGCCTTCTTGAGTCCGAGAATTCAACTAATGTTCGAAAAGACCCCGGTAAAAAAGTATTCAACAAGGCACTCCAGTAGCATAATGGACAAGTTAAGGTGAAGTGAAACACCCTTCAAATCAGTCGAGTCGAATACAACACTGTGCTTTAAGGGTATTAGACCAAACTGTCCGAAACTTTGACACGTCACTCCTGATCATCTAAGAATTGTCCTGACACATTCAAGATTAGGATTTTTCAAACAAATTTTTTAACAGCCCAGACCAGAACCAAAATGGCGTCGAGCTCTCATTTTTCGATCGATATACAATTATCGAAGGGCCTGATATGAGAATCGAAAGGGTCAGGACAATTTTACGACAATTTAGAACCCTCTGGTAATCGATAAACTCGAATTTGAACGGGATAATGGCAAAAAAAGTGTTGTATGCGCTTCTTTGCTAAAACGATGGGAATACGAGGTCTCGGAATGAAAATTTAATTGACCTGGAAATCACAGATGGCGCAAGGCGTCCCTCCGCAGTCAATTAGGGCCCCAGAAAACATGAATCCAGAGGATTTCTGGAGTTTTACTTCGATTTCTTGATAATTACTGTGCGAAAACGACAGGTGGAGTATGCCATTTTATACAATACCCAATATAATTCAACACAGCTGTCAATATAAAAACGAACGCCGGCAACGTAGGCATTTAGAAAAATCTTCTTTATCGACGTCGACTAAGTTCATCGACGTGTTTCACTTCACCTTAACTGCTATTTACTTGCGAGTCTTGGGGTCGATTCCCCGATATCTGCAAAAAGATTTTTCGGGGTGGAAGGGGTGTCCTACAAGGACGTACTGGATTTTGATTCTCGAGTTCGTACGGATTCCTGGGATTTTTTTTTTTTCGCAAACGAATAAATACGCATGAAAAATTTCGCATTGGTCAACGTTTGAAAGTCGTAAACGAAATTGGCAATCTCACATGCGAATGCTGATTAAAAGAAATTGAGCAGAGGCTTTCTGAACGGATTCTCAAACGCTAAATTTATTAGTTAACTCGGTCTGCTGAAAAAATGCTTGAAGTCAAGTATTGTTCAATGCAAACAAAACGATTACACTTAGAGAAAAATTTAGTTGAATTACCTATGTTTTAACTAATTGCCATGGTTCAAACTGTACTTAAATATGCTTTATTGTAAATTTTATTTAAAATTTTTTATTTTTCATTGTAAATAGTTTTCTTAATTACTAAATCTATTTCCAAAAAAATTGGTTGTAATCGTGGACAATATTAAAGAAAAATATGTTACAACATTTGAATACCCTGTCTGAATAAAGCATTCAACAAAAATTCTATTTTTTATCAGTGTACTTCCTAGCATTTCATTGGGAGCTTCACTTGAAAAATGAATATCTTATTTGGAGCATTTACGTAAAGGAAACGACATATAAAAAGCCCGCACAAAGGAAAAGACAAACGTGTTTCGAAAATTGCAAAGCGTTCCAACGACGTATCCTATTTAAATTTTGCGGTTCCGTCAAAGATTCAACCCTGTTGATTTTTTTTTACTGTAACAGCTATTCCTATTGTCTCCATTTAGAAGGAACACCGATTAAAAATGACGCAGTTTCCAAGTAGACTCCCATTCGCGTATCGATTGCTCTCGATGGTGTTTTATTTCGAGTGATTTGGCAAAAACCGTTACGTCGATGTGATACGAGAGCGTTGACCGGAGCAAAATTCGACGGACGGTTATCCGCGCGCGCGATTTTGCGTTTGAGCAAGGTCTATCGACTCACTTCGGGTTGACTCGGCGGGTCTCGTTCCTCGGCGCGCATGCGCGTAGACTCGACTCCGTTGACGTTTCACCAAAACAAAGCACGCCGGGACGTGCTAGCACTTGATCGCGAGACGTCGCGGTAGTCGGCTCGTTATCTGATCTCCTCCGTTCCTCTTTCGTTCGTTGTATTTGACCTTAGTGCAGTGCTTCCCGTTGTCGATAGGATAATCACGTACGGATACTCGGGGCCGAACGCCAAGGTGCATGGACCGCAACGTATCCATGGCGAGCGCGAAGTCGACGTCGGACGACCTGCTCGGAGGTGAGTGAAAGAAAAGCAGGGCGGCCAGCTGTCACTACGACACCGCGGCCATTCCGTGCGGGCCCCGCCGACACGTAAACAAACGCGCCACCCGTCGCCTATCTTTGCGACGCAATACCCGGCGTTGCTGGTCACCGATCGACGTTGCGCTCGAATATTGCCTTTGTGTTCGAGGCCTTCGAATTGGAGGCGTCAGTTTCACAAGGAGGAAGCGCGGGGATGCGCGTTTACGTGGCGTATCCTGAAAGTGAAACGTGAAACGTGAATTCCGTGCTTAACGTAATGGTGGAATACGGCGATTTGATTGCGGTAGAAGCGTTAAGTCCCTTCAACGAGACCACCGAGATATGTGTATGCTTTTTCATAGCTGGACAAATATTATTAACTTGAAATTTGAACGTTCGTGCAGGCGGTCTTTTCAGGTCTGCTGGAGTGAATTGAGGTCTTAACGAATAAGCAAACGTTGAATTTATAACCAAATTCGTAATTCTGGAACGAAGAATAATTGGTTGACTTCCAATGGTTTTTCATTTTATCTCTTTGTTTACGTGACTAAATGCTTTTGGTTATCAATGAGAACCCATTATGATGTGCAACAAATCATGAAATTCTTTGGAGACCACGTAGACAAATTGTGCTATGATTCCTCTTCGGTGAGGCGAGTGCATTCGGTTAAGGTGCAAATACCAGTGATCGGTTTTAGAAATAAAAGCAAAATGATGTTTTTGCCAAAATGATTATATTTTCATGCACGTAGATATATGTATTTAAAAAAGTACATAGAATAAGATTGGGATCGATATTGGATTTCTACTTGAATTTAGATTTTAATCCATTGTACCCAGAAATGTGGCAGATTAACGAATGGACGAAACGTGTGGGGGGGCATTTTTCTTTCAAGTAGTAGCATGTGAAAAACAGTGTATTTAGTTCTTCGACTTGTTCGCGAAGACAAGACTTTATTGTTTAAAATAAGTAATTTTGTACATTAGTAAAAGTTTAATTAATTTTAAATGTAATTATGTATAAATGCGCCGACAACTTTTGAAATACATTTTTTTTTTTTTAAACGAAGGCCCTAAAGAAGAACGGAATGCTCAAGAAATTTCATTTTTCAGAGAAAAATGTTTTTTATTTATCCTAAACTAGAATTGAGATCACATTTTTTGGTGAAAAATGAAATTTCACGAGCATTGCATTCTTAGGGCTTTCATAAATACGTGCTGAGGTTTCAAATGATTCGATGCACCCAGTTTGGAGAAAAGTTTTATAAATATTTTGACTTTTTGATGTATATATGTGACACTTTCATACCTTTACCTTCATTCGAGACCATTTGAACCTAAACCGAATTTCTTTTTCTTTTCATATCTTTTTCTATTATATCTGAATGATATAATTAAATTTGTGGTAGGACTATTATCCTCATATTTTATAACCATAGGTCCATTTAATCGGATGGCAGCGTGCTTACATGCAAATTGAGGAAGGAATGAAAATTAAGAGACACGTTAATCAGGAAAGAAGGGTATTTATACGCAATGATGAAATATTTCACAGCTCGTGTAACATCTTTTTAGTTTAGCCTGATACAATTTAAAGTGCTACGAAACGTCCCAAGAAATTTAATTGAAATCGATAAAATAAAATTCATCTACACCCTATTTGGCATTGACTCCATTTTGAATACTCGAGTATTAACATAAGCTGATGCGCCACGTTACCGACATTTATATATATGTTGACGTCTGGTACACTACACGGACAATTATATGAAATTCCATATGTCATTCCAATAAAATGTAAAGAGATCGAAGCGAAATTCAAGATTTCCCTTAGTCTTACGATTTTTGATACTCTAATTGACCAACGGTACTCATTTGTCACATTTAGTGGTAGCTAAATTTTTTATCTCTAAGAGCAGGTACACAGCACGTATTCTCACGGGGTGTCTCAGAATTTCATTACACACATTCATGAAACTTTTCTCCATATTTTCTATATCAATCTGTAATGTTCGTTTATTATAGTGTCCTAATTTGTTATGCCTAGGACGTGAAAATCTTCGTTTTCGATTCTAAGATTTTAAAAGGTGTATAATATAGAAAATATGTGTTTTTGATTTTGGTTTGGGATAGATTAACCCTTTAACTACGGCGCTGTCAGATGTGAAGATGTACCACTTATACGGAGTGCACAAATTTTATATGAATACAATATTCATTTGTCGCTTTGAATACGTGAGAATGAAGGGAGCTATAATGGCGTTTCGTAAAAAAACGTCGGTCAGGTGGGAATCGATTATAGTGGCGTTTCGCGTAATTAAAGGGTTAAACAAATTCTTTGTTGGAAAACTGAAATTTCATGGTCATCGTATTCTTTCTTAGGGCTTTCATAATTACGTGCTTAATGTTTCAAATGATAGGGTGCACCCACTTTGTAGAAAAGTTTTGTATATATTTTGTCGTTTCAGTGGTCACTTTCATTTCACCTTAATTCAACTCGGTGAGTTGTCACGAAATAGCAATTGGGTGGTATTATCAGTATTTTAAACAATTTCAAACAATTTCAAACAGTGGGTTAACTTAAGCTGAATTATTAATTAATAAAGAGTATCTTTATCTTTACTACTATATAAAGAAGTCACTTTTTCTTTTGCTACCTGACATACTCCACCTGTCGTTTTTGTACAGTAATTATAAAGAAATCGATGTAAAACTCCAGAAATCCTCTGGATTCATGCTTTGTGGGGCCCTAATTGACTGCAGAGGGACTCACTGCGCCATCTGTGATTTCCAGGTCAATTCAATTTTCCCTCCAAGACCTCGTATTCCCATCGTTTTAGCATAGAAGCGCATACAACACTTTTTTTGCCTTTATCCCGTTCAAATCCGAGTTTATCGATTACCAGAGTGTTCTAAATTGTCGTAAAATTGTCCTGACTCTTTCGATTCTCATATCAGAGCGCTCGATAATTGTATATTGATCGAAATATGAAAGCTCGACGCCATTTTGGTTCTGGTCTGGGCTGAGTTAAAAGTTTTTTTAAAAAATCCAAATTTTGAATGTGTCAGGACAATTCTTAGATGATCAGGAGGGATGTGTCAAAGTTTTGGACAGTTTGGTCTAATGCCCTTAAAAAAAAGTGTTGTATTCGAATCGACTGATCTGAATGGGGTTTCACTTCACCTTAAGGACCTAACTGTGTTCATAATGGGCTGAAGTATGAAGTATGAAATTTGGAGTCGTAACGAAAGACACGATGCTAAATAAGGAACTTGAATAGATGCATTTATGCGCACGACGAAACGGGTTCGTCTCCTTTGGAATACAAGCAATCGAGAAATGTCTGTACTTGCACGATTCCCTGCTTGTATGGTACGCAACCAGGGTTTTAAACCTAACGAGGCCAGATATATATGTATGTCGATGTATATGTGTGCATGTGTAACCATGTGTACATATACATTTACATATGTAAACACTTAAGGTTTGAAACGAGATGATCTTACCATATGGCCAACTACGTGCACGGTTTTATGATTCACGTATCGGTATACTTTCAGCTGCACAATGCGCTCCTATGCCGTAAATAGAACAAGCTCAATGGTAACTAAAATAATGTAACATCTTACGTATGTAGTCAGATTCGACTACGTCATTCATTTAACAATTATCGTATGTTGATATTTCACTTCAATTATTTGTAATTTCAATTTAACATTTTTGGATTACGACGTCTTAAGCGAGGGTATTGACGGTGATGACTAAATACATCTTTTAAACGCAAATAAAAACAGCAACGCGACGTAATAGCCTAATTAACATCAATAATCTTAAAAATGATAATGTATGCATAGTGGTGTCCTACTTTAATTTACTTCTCCGAAGTTTCGATAAACGCAGAACTTGTTTTATGGATCGAGATATCCTCGTTTGGATGTGATGACAGAGTCGATCGTTGCAGATAATAGGGTAAAGTAGGGTAGACGCCTACGTTTTCAACGTATACTTCTAAGGTCGTTATTTGCTTTTGTTTCCAAACAATTCCATGCTTATATCATACCGTCATATTTTATCTTCGTTATATTATACAATCATTTGCCTAGGATCGATAGTTGTTATAATAGAAGAAAAATAAGAAAGAACATCCTAGTAGGGGAGGATAGATGCCCTAAGGGAGAATAAATGAAATCATAATCAATTTGTTTGAAAAGTCGTATTTATAATCTTAGCAAAGTTAACAAAAACGGTTTTCAAGTTATCTTTAAACTTGTAAAAATTGCGTATTACCTGTAAAATAAAACGTAATTTGAAAATAGACTCATAATAATATTGTTATATACATAAAATAGTAATATATATTACTTCATAACTATTTATCAATAACTCTATTATAAATATATTACATCTTAATCGTTTGTATTAAATTAATCCGAAAACAAGAATTCTTTTACTTTTAATATATTTTATTATACACGTAACAAGTAATGGTCAAAGAAACCCATGATAGTTATTTTCCAAGGTCAACATGTAATATATTATCCTTTTCTTTCAGATATATAATGATTATAGTAAGTATTATTTAACTGCGTTTATGGTCTTAATTATTATTTTATAGTAGAAACAAGTTTAAATGACGATATCATTTTAGAGTATAACGCAAAATCTATATCTTTGATAAAAGTCATTGATTTCATATAAATATACTACCTTTTCCTCCCGGCATCGCACAGGAGTCTAGGAATCACTCGTATGGCGATTTTTTAAATTATTGTTTAAAGCAACTTAAAGGTGTTATATAAACAATGTCTAGGTCCTATCTGAAGAATTCTGGCCATTTGTATCCACAAAGAAATACTTTGTATCTAGAATGAGCTCATCTTCGGGAACGCCTGGCAGGGTAGTGTATCCTATCCATCCGAACAAAACATCTTGCTCGTCCTTAAGGTGAAGTGAAACACGTCGAGGAACTTGATCAACGTCGATAAAGAAGATTTTTCTAAATGCC